TTATAAACATTGATCAGAGGGGAGCTAGAGAGATACAAAGTAACATTGTTTATAAACATTGATCAGAGGGGAGCTAGAGAGATACAAAGTAACATTGTTTATAAACATTGATCAGAGGGAGATAGAGAGATACAAAGTAACATTGTTTATAAACATTGATCAGAGGGAGATAGAGATAGAAAGTAACATTGTTTATAAACATTGATCAGAGGGAGATAGAGATTTAATCTCTGCTGCCCCAAGGCCATGTTCCTCAGTGCGCGCCCCTCCCCCTCCCCCCATGGATGGAGAATGGCAGACCTGCAGGCTGCATACAAGATCCCTTGAGATCACTTGTACAAAACAAGCGGCGGCTTCCCCGCTCTACATTTAGCTCTGGTTGCCCAAAGCCGGACAAAATATAGAAAACAACTACCCGCCCGGAACTGCATGCCCCAGGCATCGGGAAATAGGAATCCCACACCCCTGCTGCCCCTCTACTCCCTGCTGCCCCTCTACTCCCTGCTGCCCCGAGGCCGGGCCTTGGTTGGCCTTGTGGGAAATCCGGCCCCGGGCTCGTGCTATGAGCCGCCCGGTCCGGAGGATGAAGGATCTCTGCGAATGGCGTCTTCATTCTTCGCGGTGAAGAAATAACAGCGCACTTTCCATGTGATTGACGTTGATACGGAGTTACGTTTACTTGTCGCGGCGACACAAAATAGAGTGCAAGCAGTTTGTACAATCTGTTGTGCGGTAAAATAACGGCATCTGAGGGTGTTAAACCGACATAAATCAAAGTAAAAACAAGACAGCGATGGGAGGGAATTGCGCGGAGGGCTGCAGGAGCGACAGGCGTGCGCGGTGCCAGGTGGCGAGTGCGTGTCGCAGTCACTCACCTGCCAGCCGGGCGTCTCGCGGAGTGAGTGAGTCGCATTTGATAGCGTGCGCGCGGCCTCGTCTCGTGCTGGAGCTGTCACTCAGCCGGCTGCCGGGGACTCTGCCCCATCTGTCACGCGTTGGGGAAACACGGGGGGCGGGTGTTACCTGTCTGCCTGTCAAGTCGTGTCACCGGGAGAGCGATCAGCCATGCCAAAGTCTGCGGGCAGACAAGCCTGTCGGTGACGGAGGCGCCGCGACCCCCGCCATGATGGCAGGTCGCGTTCTCTGTGCCGTTCTCATGCGCCGGACTCGTTTATTTACATGAAGCACAAATGGCCAATGAGCACTTAAAGGGAAAGTACATTATTTTCAATGAATATATTCTGAATTATTACCGTAACCCGTCGTCAGATATATTTATATGAAGTGCAGTGTGTTAAATAATGTGTCGCTGTAACATTTTCAGGTATTTATTACCGCTCACAGAGATCACACTGCTTCCCTGACAGTGCCTTCATCTGATTTTCTCTCCCCAGAAGGACAGCACCATCTTTGTTTAGGCATCATCCAGGGTCAACATATACTGGCTCAATGATGACGTAGGTATGTAAATCCCAGTGCCTGAGTAGTGTCCACAAATGTCTGACACAGATCAGCTCCTGCTGCAACCTTTCACCTTGTGACTGGATACAAAGTTACAATGTTGCAGCAGACTGATCACTGGGGGAGATGAGACTGAAGAAATGCTTCCTCCTACCTGCAGCAGACTGATCACTGGGGGGGGCTGAGGAAATGCTTCCTCCTGCCTGCAGCAGACTGATCACTGGGGGAGGGGAGACTGAGGAAATGCTTCCTCCTGCCTGTAGCAGACTGATCCCTGGGGGAGGGGAGACTGAGGAAATGCTTCCTCCTGCCTGTAGCAGACTGATCCCTGGGGGAGGGGAGACTGAGGAAATGCTTCCTCCTGCCTGTAGCAGACTGATCCCTGGGGGAGGGGAGACTGAGGAAATGCTTCCCCTTGCCTGCAGCAGACTGATCACTGGGGAGGGGGGACTGAGAAAATGCTTCCTCCTGCCTGTAGCAGACTGATCACTGGGGGAGGGGAGACTGAGGAAATGCTTCCTCCTGCCTGCAGCAGACTGATCACTGGGGGAGGGGAGACTGAGGAAATGCTGTCCCCTGGTACAGACCTTACTAATCCATCCTTTCGGCCAGAGCTCAGAACTGTCGGAATCTGAGAGCCGGCAGTGACAGGAGCAGCTATGCATCAGACAGAGACACAGACCCCCATATATGTGTTTTTAGCTTTGTCTGAACACAATATGCAGAAACATCCTCTGCTCTTCTCTCGGGTCATGTGACTCACCGGTTTTCGGCGTCGACTTGCTGGCAGCGCCGGGGCTCCACGTCTTGGAGAGCTTGTTGGCGGAGACTTGGTAGATGGAGCCTTCGATGCAGCGGAGACTCTTCCTCCATCTCTGGTGGGGTTGGGTTCTCCGGGCCTGGCACAGCTGACGCATCCGGTTTGCCAGGAGCAGCCTGAGGACACAAAGAGGGAAACGCCGGACGTAGTACTTTATACTAACAGAGGAGGCCCCCATCATCGTTCAGGTAATGAAAGGGTTAAGTGGGCGGTTCACAGATGAATTACTATGGTGAGAGGTCATGTGACTTTCATATTTCTATTTTTTTTTTGCTGTTCCATATTTTAACAACACAGATTTAGAGACTCTCCATATAGTATCTAGGAGCATCCTGAGGCCTTGTGCCGAGATAAAACCAATAACCACATTGAAGCTGAAGTTTAATCTGCTTACATACTATCTTCCCTGAATCCCCCCCTCCCCCCATCAACATGCCAATTACATTTTTACATGTTAATATCAATTATTATGACCTAGTGATGTCATTACTGGGTCCCTGTGCTTTGCAGGCAGATCATGGCTGCTGGGAGGGCCGGCAGGGTGCTGTACATAGCCTCAGAACTCCTCTCAATAGTCCTCAGCCCTGATGCAAGCAGTGGGCGGGATCTTGGGAGGAGTTATGCAAATATTGAAATGCCTTGATGGGTGGGCGTTCCTAGGCAGCCGGCTTTGTGTCCACATGTGATGCTGACCCTCCATAACTGAAATCCAATGCATGGAAGGGGGTGGGATATATGCAAATATCAAAATGTCTTGATGGGTGGGTGTCAGTCGGGAGGAGTGGGCGTTCCTGGGCAGACTGCATTTGCATGCAGACCTCCCTAGGTAACGCCCCCACATGTGATGCCGAGCCTACATGACGGCAAGCACTGAAAACGAATTAAAAGGGGGCGGGGCCAGGGACAGTCAGGCTTAAATTTCTTAATGCCTGCGGTGTGTGCAATCCAAGATCCAAAAGTAAACAAAAAAAAGTGCTCAAAGGGGTGTCCAGGGCCCTAAGTGTACAGGGACAGAGATCAGCAGCGACCGGACTTTATTACAGGAGGGGGCGGAGACAAGACCAGTCACCCTGCACAAGGAGAGAGAGCGGCAGTGAGCGGTCTTTATTATAGGAGGGGCGGAGACAAGACCAGTCACCCTGCACGAGGAGAGCGAGAGACAGTGAGCGGTCTTTATTACAGCAGGGGGCGGAGACAAGACCAGTCACCCTGCACAAGGAGAGAGAGCAGCAGTGACCGGTCTTTATTATAGGAGGGGGGCAGAGACAAGACCAGTCACCCTGCACAAGGAGAGAGAGCGGCAGTGAGCGGTCTTTATTATAGGAGGGGGCGGAGACAAGACCAGTCACCTTGTACAAGGAGAGGGAGCATCAGTGAGCGGTCTTTATTACAGGAGGGGGCGGAGACAAGACCAGTCACCCTGCACAAGGAGAGGGAGCAGCAGTGACCGGTCTTTATTACAGGAGGGGGCGGAGACAAGACCAGTCACCCTGCACAAGGAGAGGGAGCAGCAGTGACCGGTCTTTATTACAGGAGGGGGCGGAGACAAGACCAGTCACCCTGCACAAGGAGAGAGAGCAGCAGCGACCGGTCTTTATTACAGGAGGGGGCGGAGACAAGACCAGTCACCCTGCACAAGGAGAGGGAGCATCAGTGAGCGGTCTTTATTACAGGAGGGGGCGGAGACAAGACCAGTCACCCTGCACAAGGAGAGGGAGCAGCAGTGACCGGTCTTTATTACAGGAGGGGGCGGAGACAAGACCAGTCACCCTGCACTAAGAGAGAGAGAACAGCAGTGACTGGTCTTTGTGTACGGAGGGAAGTGGGTGACATGAAGGGATTTCCTCCATTATATTGTACATGGTAGTTCCTGCTCCGGGTCACACTGACTGGGAAGGTTATCACCAGAACTGAAGTCTCGGCACGTCCTCTGTATCACCGCCGGATAACAATGAGATGTGTAGAGACAGCGGGGATTAATGAGCCCTATACACGCTTGCCTTGTCACTCTGCTCTCTGCTGTGATCAGCCGGCCTCGCTCAGGCAGGACGATGTCAGGATGCATACAGGACATGAAGGGGATTTAGTGTTGGTAATGAAAGCAGTTACCCGCAGTGCCGGGTCATAGGAGCCGCGACCCGAACTACCAAACCAATTCTATCACATCCGAAACATACCCGCAAATTACCCGTCACTGAGAACCTGCGCATCCAGACATTTCCCACTGACTGGAAGTGGCAACCCACCAATCTACCACCATACACC